AGTGGGCCTGTTGTCAAACCACATCGTATTACTCTTCAAATTATGATAGTAATCACTCCTAGGATCTTTTTGAAGAAATACCAATCTCTTAACTCGCCTTCAGTGCTTTGCGCGTGTACTTATAAACATATTCATCAATGATGGAGGGCGCGCTAAGCAACTTGACGCGATTCGCCACTCATATACCATGTTGCGGGCATATGTATTTTGTACATGCATAAGTATTATATTTTCTTCGTACAGAAAACGAGCTCAGATGACCCTAGTTGCCAACGCGTGTTTGCTCCGCATTCAGGATTGGGGGTTGAAATTTCCTAAAAAACCAGCGTTTAGGGTTCACCGTGGGATACCCAATTAGAAACTCCACCCCCTTGTCATTTAATGACTTACTGACAAGATTTCTATTATTATTTGAGAGTGATTTAGTACAGATATGCCAAATGCTAGGACGATAAAAACATAGAAAAATGGTACAATTTTAAGCTCGACTATATCATCAAGTCAACCGTTTGACGACTGCAATCAATCTTTCTTTCAGAGCGACATCCGTAGCCACGATGGCAAACATGAGCACGGATATTCTCGTGGCCAACCTAATCTTGGTTTGATATTAAATTGCAACGCCTTGCGCCATAATAACCGATGCCTTAATGTCATTTATAAGCAACGTTTCTGTGATATCAACTATGATATTCCCAGAAAACCCTTTGTCACCGGAGTCATCCTCATTTAAGATTCGAGGGGGTGAAGTTTTTATTCCTCAGGAATGCCATGAAAGCATAGGAAACGCTATGTAACATCTATAGTTGCTCGACACAGCACAATCGCGTGGCGATGACGCGATAACTGCACGGCTTGAAGATGGATAGTAATAGAACTAGCATGGTAAACATCTTGTAACTTTTGGCGAGAAAATTGGGGTCTTCAGACGATGATAAAACTACCCCTCGAGTCGTGGTAATTCTCAGAAGTCTGACATCAGAATGTGATTGAAAATCATCATATGTGGAAAATGCGAGGGGCACAACATCGATAAAATAAAAGAGAAGTTGATCAAAAATCTGAGCAATTGCACAAAAAGTAGGCTACAGAGAAAGCGTTATGCGTAAACAAAAGTGCGGGAACGTTAAAGGTGGAAGATTTAACGTTTGAAGAGGTGGTTTCTCACTCGATAGCAGAAAATTGAAGGGCAACATTTAAACTGTGACCGAGTTGGTCATCTGAAGCAAAAATGACCAGCCGGAAGACGTGCCAGCAATGTTGACGATGTATTTATAGTGAGCGAAGAACAATCGGCAGGGCAGCACAAGTAGGCCTTGCGTGAACACAAGGATCTTGAGATATGCATTGAAATAATAATCATACATGGAAAAAAGTACTAGTCGAAGAAACTGGCACCTTGAAATTGATCGGTTTGGGTGGAAAGGAATTCTGTTTGATTGAAGATTTGTATATCCGAGGACTTAAAAAAAGATTGATAGTGGTTGGCAAGCTTGCGAACGCGCTATGAGTGTGGAGTCTTTGCGATTGTCGTGTGTCATCTGAGATAAAAAGGCGAGTTAATCGGGTTCAAGAATCGTTACAGTGTACTGTAAGCAGGAAGAAGCATGTGGCCTGAAGTATTGCAGGACTGGTACTTAATGGGAACTTCGGCATACCCGCATGGCAAACTTAAATAATGATGCTTTACTAAAGACACAGCGCCCGATCAAAGGCATCTCAATGGTAAAACAAGAAACAAAAACATTATTTGCCGGATATTTGAAGGGACAGTAGACAATAACGCCATTTCCCTCGCGTTCGATGATATAGACGATATATGTGTTGGAATGCGTGCACATAAAAATTATGGGTTCTTCCTCGAAAGGAGTTGCAGAAAAATTCCCTATTTGCTGGATAAATTTTAAGATTTGTTGCAATTTCCTTGATTAAGCGCAATCGTAAGGAATTTGGCATGCTCAAGGAATTCATAATTTTATACGAAGATCAGTGGTGTGTATGTCTCAAAAATGTTTGATATCTGATTACAGAGTAGCATTTGTGACTGAAACGATGGTCGTCATATGTCGACGGATCGGTATCGTTCGCCAACGTTCAATTCTATACAGCTCTCAACAATATGGGGTGGCGAAGCGCATATATCAGACTATCATGGAAAAGGCCCTCGATATGTGTTACACCTAAGACGTTGATTGGTGGGCGGACACAGTGAATACAACCGTTTATCGA